ATTCACGATGTTATCCCGATCGATTCTTTATTTTTTTATTACGGTGATATCCCAGTTGATTCTGTAAGACCTCTGCACATAATTTCAATTCGCGGTGTTGTCCCAATCAATTTTTTATTTTTTGACTTACTATGTTGTCTCGATCGATTCTGTAAGACCTCCAGACATGATTTTTAAGACCTTCGGGCATAATATTTAAGACTTCCAAGCATAATTTTGATTTGCAGTGTTGTCTCGATTGATTCTTTATTTTTTGACTACGGTGTTATTCGATCGATTCTGTAAGACTTCTAGGCATGATTTCTAAGACCTTTAGGCATAATTTCAATTCGCGGTGCGGTCCTTATCGATTCTTTATTTTTTGACTATGATGTTGTCTCGGTCGATTCTGTAAGACCTCCGGGCATGATTTTTAAGACCTCCGAGCATAATTTTTAAGACATCCGGGCATAATTTTGATTTACGGTGTTGTTTCGATCGATTTTTTATTTTTTGACTTATGGTGTTGTCCCGATCGATTCTATAAGACCTCCGAGCATGATTTTTAAGACCTCTGAGTATAATTTTGATTCGCAGTATTATCTCGATCGATTCTTTATTTTTTGACTTACGATATTGTTCCGATCGATTCTTTACTTTTCGACTTGCAATGTTATCCCAATCAATTCTTTATTTTTTGACTCGTCATGTCATCTCAGTCATTTTCTTTATCACTTGACTTATGGTTCAAAACAAAAAAAAAAAAGAACTTTTGAAAAATTCATGATTCGCTTCCATACAAAATTAATGTCTTTGTCTTTACCCTATTCCTGATTCTCAGTAATGTGCAAAGAGGGCCAGCTATAGACACTAAATTTATCCGGGTATACTAGATTAATTTTTGTTTCCAAGTTTTGTTTACTAATATTTTTAATATTATTATAAAATATAGTAATTAATAAAAAAACAAAAAAAATAAAAACAGAAAAACAAAAGATTAGGGTGGTAGTGGTGCTTTGCACGGTACCATTGGCCACACCCATACCCTACCAGCAGCATGCCTCAAACCCCTCAGCCACCCACCGCTTTGGCCTGACCATACCCTGCATTGCCAGAACCCTTACCTTACCATACTAGCCATCACGTGCTCCCCTTTTGAAGCTCTTAAAAACCTATAAAACCCAAAGCACTGATCTTTTTTTTTCCATTTTCTTGACCCCTGAAGTCTCTGTATTCTACCTTTAAGCACCGATCACCATCTTCTCTTTATTTGTGTAAAAAAATAGCTTCGGTTACCCAGAAACCTAACTCTCAAACCCCTCAGAAACCCCAAATCTCCTATACCTCAAAAAATCATAACCCTAGCCTCTTTATCCTTCCCCTATCAAAAAACCAAAAAGCCCAAAACAAATCCACAAAAAAAACAACACGGTCCTCTCCGTAGGGAGGAACCCAGAGCCAAGCCACCTGCAAAAATAATAAAAAATTTTTTCAATTTTTTTTTAAATAGAAACCAAAAGCTTCAAGCCTCGATCTACATCGATCGGGGCTGTTTCTGGCAAAATGGACACCAGATCTGAAAAGATCACTTTGAGGTGAACGGCTATGAGTTTTTTATGTTTTTTGACCATCGACAGCAGCCCATCGACGATGGTAGGTGCGGCAATCGGCATGGTGGCACGAACACCAGCGATTGAATGTCGGCAGAGCCCTCAGAACTCTTCTGGAGCTCTAACTCTTTTTTTTTTTTTTTTTGCTAAAGGGTGAGAATGAAAAAAAAAAGGTTTTATATATAATGGCAAAACCCAAAACGACATCGTTTTGGACTAAGGGGATCCGCGCGTCAACCCAGATCTGACCCGAGATCCGCTTAACCCAACCCACGACCAGTTTCAGCCAGCCTAGAACCGATCCAGATGAACCATCAGTGAATCGATCGAACCGGTCTAAATCGCTGGACCACTCGAATAGCTAATTGAACAATCAAACCATTCAGACCAGTTCAAACTAGCGTTGATCGGTCCGATTCATGTTTTTTTTTTTTAATTTCAATTTTTTTTATATTATTATTTTTTATTTTGAGTTTTATTTTTAATATTTATGCATGATAATTTTTTAAATTTATTAGAATAATTATTTGATTATTTTTATTGATAATAAAATGAAATAAAATAGGATAATAACTAAAAACAATACTAAAAATGCTAAAATAATCATAATAATAATCTAAATAATAACAATAATAATTGAATAATATTTTTTTTATTTTATTTTTCCTGCCTAGATGTTGGAAGGAATAAAAATATATTTTTAAAAATAATTCTGCCTAAATGTTGAGAAATTGTTATATAAAAATTAATTAATAAAAAAAGCTATAATAATAATAATAATAATAATAATAATAATAATAATAATGAACTTTCATAAAAAAGGAAATACATGAAAACTTTTTAATTAATGTTTAAAAATTATGAAAATCGAACTTGCTCCGAAAATCTGCCTAGATGTTGGAGATTTTTAGAGATGTTCACGTTTTCTTTAAACATTAAAATCCAAACCCTAAATTTCAAAACCCAAAAATTGAAACCCTAAAAATTAAGTCCCAAACCTCTAAATCCTAAAATTAAACCATAAACCCTAAAATCCGAACCCTAAACCTCTAAACCCTAAAATTAAACTCTAAATCCTTCAAACCCTAAAAATCCAAACCCCAAACCTCTAAACCCTAAATTAAATCCCAAATTTTCAAACTCTAAAAATGAAACCGTAAACCCCCTAAACCCTAAAATCAAAATCCTAAGCCCTAAAATCCAAAACTTTAAAATTCAAAATTTTGAAAACCCCAAATTTGGTACGAAATCCCAAATCATTGCCCGAAACTCACTAAATCTTAAAACCTCAACCTAAACCTATACTCTAAACCTTTTCGAAATTTTAAGGATACATATGAAAATCTTAAGTAAAGTAATTTGTTCTCGAATGCCACCTAGACGATGGGGTATTTAAAGAAATCTTATTCCATTAAGTTTTTCTCATGAATCCTTAATTCGTTTTAATAATGTGGTTAATAACTTATTAACAATAAAAGTATAATAATAAAAATAGGATCTTAAATATAAATAGTCGCACCTAAGCTCTGCCTAGATGTTGAAGAGTCAATGTGGTCTCATTATATTTAAGAATCCATTTGTTTGTATTGCATAGTATTCATTGGCATACATATGTTATCATGTTATCATTGGCAATCATTTGCATTCTTCTGTCTTTAATTTTATTTATTTATTTACTACTTGCTGATAAAATATTTTATAATAAAAAAATAATACATTTTTAAAATTTGTGATATTATAAAATAAAATAAAAATAACATTTCGAAAGAAATGATTCTTGGTACTGTGCCTAGATGTTGGAGAATCACCAACAATTATCTTTTATAAAGAGTGTTATTTCATTTTAAGGGATATTGTATTAAATCTCAAGTGAAAAGAATTATCTTAAATTTTGCCTAGATGTTGAAGAATTTTAAGATAATTCTTTAACTTAAATATTTTCTCAATATTTCTAAATAAAAAATTTTAGCAAAAAAATATATTTTTTAAACGAAGAAAATTAGTATTAAATTTCAAGTCAAAACCATTTTATCCAACACCGAAAATAGCACATGATTAAATGGTACCAATTTATAGGCGTTGTGGGGGTGCTAATCCTTCCCCACACATAACCGACTTTCGAACCCAACCTGATTTTCATAGACCGAAATTTATCTTTTTGATAAATTTTAGACCCGCTTTTAGAGTTTTATTAAAAAGATAAACTTTTGAGTGACCAATCACATCTTAACAAAGATTGGTGGTGACTCTTTTTATTTTTTCAAATTTTAAAACACATTACGCCTGGCGGTCCCAAAACCGTTATGACAAACAAAAGAATAGAACTTTGCTTCTTGTTATGCGAGACCTTTGAGATCAGAGGGTGTCATATTTAGTACCCTTAAGGACTTTCGACTATTTTTTAAAATTTCAATTCAATGTTAGCTATTTTGGAATGTTGCTAATGGTCGTGAATGATTTGATCTAATGGGATATATCTAGATAGCAAATGAATTGAAATGGAGAGACTTTAAAAGAAAGAAAGACCATTTTGGTGTCACATAATGGTTATATTTGCAGGCCTACCAATTATGTTTGAAATGTCGAACATAATTGTCAATACGCAAATGTATCATGGAATATGATAAAAGAAAGATCTCGAGGAACTTGAAATGTGACTAAATGCGTCTAGAGTGCTACATTATTACTCTATTTGTACTTGAAAGTTGTTATACATACCTAATAGTTGTATAAAAGACTAGATGTGATTTTGAGCTACCATATACACTTAATAGTCATATAGCAACTAAACTTTCATTACATGACTTATTTTCTTGTATGAACCACTATAAAAGGTAGAGAAAACATTCTCTTAATCGTGAAAGTTTGCCACTCATTTTGTATGAATAGCAGATGTAAGAAATATCCATCCAAAATGGGTAGATAAATTCCTATATGTTTAATAACTACCAAAGAAACTACCATGGCAGTTACTGGTTTTTGGTTTGAATTATAAACCAAGTAAAACCATTTGTCTCTTCCCTCTTTTTCAAAAACATGGCATTCGACCATATTAAAAGATGATGACAAATATGGCATTTGGCCATATAGAAATATGATGGAGAAAGGCTGAGTCTCTTCCTCTTTTAATGAATTCACATGGCATTTGGCCACGATGAGAAACAAGAGAAAAATGAATATGTTCATGAGAAAGGTCTCATTAATTATATGATAAATTATATAGATAACGAGAGAGGAAAAGAGAAAGATTAGCAAAGAGAGGGGAATTCTTTGAGGAATCTCATAATTTGGTGTTTAAAAACTTACTCTATGGATAAAGGATAATTTTGAATGTGTAATCTTATCATCAACTAGTAAATTAAGTCGATGTTGCTTACTTCAGCAATAACACTTTCACTGTGCTTCCACAAATTTAGTAAGTCTCGTGCATTAATTTGATATATGATTTTGTTTATATATTATTACATTATCGTTGATAATGTAATCAAGTTTAAATAAAATTCCTTCTCCTAAAATTAAACTATATTTTGAAGTTTTTAGTTTGGAGTTGGGGATACATTTTACAAACAAAGAATTTGCACTCTTGAAGAACACAAGAAAAGAAAGGGAAGAAAAAAAAAACCTATACCTTCTATGCTCAAATAGCTATAGCTAATAATTACAATTCTCTTCGCTCAGGAGAAGTTATCTCTTGTTATATCATCCTTCTTGACAGTGAAATCCCAGAGATCTCCATATTTCTCATTAAAATCCCATATGCTCATGGTATTGTAGTCATTGATTAATTTATCTCGAGCTCCCCTCTCCATGTTATATATCTGAGGCTCAAAGTGATGGGGCTTATCCGGTTTATCCATCTCAATTATACAAAATATAGCCGTAAACACTGCAGCTCCAATGAACAAGTACTCTCCCTAACATAAAATTCATGTAAGAAAAACTTGTCAATCTTCGCTCTGTTGAATTATTATTTGTTTTCAAAAGAAAAGCTGACTGAAGATTTGAAATTAATTAATTACCGGAACATTGAAAAACATTCCTGCAGCAACTGTAGGGAGAAAGAGCCATGAAATAAGGCCTGCAAATAGTTGAAGACAATCAGTTACAAAATGACCGAGAAAAATCTATAAAAGGAATAAGATAGGCCTTCAACTCCAGTACTTTATTTAATTATTTTCAATGGCATGAATAGGAGAGTTAATGAACATTATATTAACCATTCATGAAAAGATTCAGTTTTTGTTCGTTTATGTATATTTATTAAGTTTAACAAATAATTATGAATAACATTTTAAGGTTATCAATCAAGCAAATATATTATGAATATAGCAAAATTCTTTTACCTTAAATTTATTTATAACATGAAAATGAAAACAAAGATAACGATCAATCAATAATTCATGAACAAATTAAGTTTTTATTTGTTTATTAAACTTAACAAACAACGTTTTAAGTTTCTTAATTAAACGAACATATTACAAACATAAAAACATTCGTTGATATTTAGTTCGTCCACACACCTATGCATGAAAAATCTATTTTCCTATTCCCAAGTTAGTTATCAATGACCAGAGATTCGTAATCGATACCTTGGAATCCTGTAGGAGGTTCTATAGCATCAATGTCATCTGCAATTGCTCCCCAAAATGTTCCTGAAGTAAAGCTTCAATTAGAGGTACAGGAACTTGATTGATCGCAAGAAAACTAGACCCCCATTGGTTAACAGAAGTAGAACAACATAAAATTTCACTCTCAAGTACCTTTCTCCTCTCCTTCGTAGTACGTATGGTGCCCATCATATTCCCCATACTTAAAATCTTCCTACGATCAACAAAACAGAAGTATTTAAATCAACCAAAATGTTGACTTAAAGAAAAATGTATGCTAAAAATACCATTGACAAGTCCAAGTTGAAATCTAACGGATAAAGACAATGTATTGAAATCCTTGAAATTCTCAGGTTTCTATCATATCCAGAATCCCAATATAGAAATTAGAAAGTAGAGATGGAATGAACTTACAGAGCTGACACTGTTGATGGCCCATCTGTCAACAGGGTCTTCATTAAGGTCAGGTTCAATCTCAGACAACCCCGCAGCATTCAATCTTGTTAACCTGCTGCTTCCACCACCATGGATTCTAATTCTAACCGGCTTGAAATGAACAGAACAAACCTCTCTTTGTTTCAGAACGTTAAATTCAGTTTCAAGCTTTTTAGAGCTGATTTTAGGAACTGGATTTACTGAGACAACTGAGAGTGGTGCATGAACTGCCATTTTCTCTCTTTTTTTATCTGCTTTGTTAGCTTTGAATGAACATGTAACGCCCGCCTTTCCTCTTAACGGATTGAACTTTCTAAGCAACTGCTTGGTGTGTGCATTACATTAACGACCAATTACATTGAGCCACGCTTTAAGTGAGGGTTCTGGTTGGGTTTACGTGTTGCATTTTGACTGAGGTTTTCACATTTTTCCTATCAGTAGGCAAGTAAGAGTTTGGTTGGTTTAATTTGGCTTTAAATGAAGGATGGAGAATAAATGAAGGATGGAGAACGCTCGGCCGGTTATCCACATTTTGGGTCCTATAAACTATAAAGACCTAAACTGAGAGGGGACACTCCGGTGGGGCCCCTTACAGGAATTAGCATGAGACAGGCCATGCCGGCCCGTCAGGCCTCGAGTGAAGAGGCGTACTGTTGCTCAGGACCCGTAGTCTTTCTAGGATATGCTGTAGCTTGTATCGCGTAATATGATATCATATATTTGTATTCCAACGCAAAATACAAAGAGTACTCCGTCAATGGTCATGGATGACAGAGGTATTCATGGTTAATTTTGAATTGAGTTATTTAAAATTATTTTTAATAATTGATTAAAATTAATTTAATAATTAATTAATTAATCGAATTAAATTGATTTAATTAGTTAATTCAATTTAAATTAAATTATGAATATTTTTGAAGGATAATAATTGATTATATAATTTTAATTTTTTAAATACAGTGATATAATAATAATAATAATAATATAATTTAAAATTTTATCAAAAAAAAGAATTTAATAAAAATATATATTTCATAATTAACGTGTGAATAATAAAAAAATTAATTATATATATTTAACATAAAATACATACAATACAAATACACAAATAAAAAACACTCGGCAACCACTCCAACAAAGTTGAACTGATTAAATAATCTTTTTTTATACTAATAAAAAACTTATCTTTTTTTTTTAATTAAACAAACTTACATATCTTAATCAGATTCGTTAGCAGTGTTCTATTAACGAAGTTGTCCGTTGCGTTGATCATTTTGTGGAGGCATCCATTGCTTGCTTACTAGGATTACTCGTGGAAGGATTAAAAATGTGGAAGTTGGAATCTTGAAATGAGTAGGACTTTGGCGTTAGCATCCTTCAGCAGTGTCATCACCATCTCTAATTGTTCAGTAACCTTAGCACCTTCTCGGTTCTCGCCTCCAATTTTCTCTCAACCTCGTCCCTCGCTCTTCCACTTCACTCCCATTTCTCACTACATGTAAGCTCTCTCTATCTGCATTTTCATGTGGACCTTAGTGAAAAGAACTAGTTTTCGTTGTTTTGCTGGTAAACTGCTTGATGGGTATCTTTTGTTTAGTCTTTTTGTTGATTGTTTCATATTGGTTGGAGTTGAACTATCGAATGTGAATTTCAGTCTTTGTTTTCAGCTGTTACTGTTTGATACTAAAAAGTTTTTGATCAGTTTCTTCCTTTTATCATTCCTTGAATGATAGAATGGGCAATCTGTGGAATTATTTTGAAAAAAATGACTTTGGATATTCGGTTTTGCTTAAAAACTCTAATTCTTTCAAGTGTGGACGCTCTTTGCGCTTAAGAGGTCGTATATTTCAAATTTACTGCAAAGAATGATTGCAAAAATGCAACTTGTTCCACGCAGCAGGAAATTTTCTTTGTTACTTTTGAATTGAATTGAAATCATTTCAAGTGTGCTAATCTATGCCTGTATCCAAAACTCTGTTATTTTTTATGAATCTAGAATTTCAACCCCAAATAACACCTTGGCACTTGAGAGTTGTTTGTGGTTTTACTTTGGACGCAAGTAGATAAGCATTTGAGGCAATATCTTAGCAGGAAAAAGAATGGAACAAGAAAAATATGCAATTTGGAACTGTGGAAGTATGGAAGTTTATCTACCGTTGGCTTCAATTACCAGCCTCTAGTGAATTTAAGATTACTCAAAATTGAAACTTAAATCATATTGGTAGGTATAAGTTTTTCGCATATATATATTTTTTCTCCAATATGCTTTCCAGCATTCTCCAATATCCATTGCATCTTTTGCTGCCTTTTTCTCCATTGAATCTATCTTTGCTACACGATGATGTTTTAGATATTATTTTGTATGATGTGCATTCTGAAAGAGAGACCTGATTAATAAATTTCAAAATTATCACCATATCCTATTGTTTCTTTTTGGATAAGATGGTGGAGTAGAATATAATGGGTGCTTCTTGATGTTACAAGAGTGCCAATTACTATTGAGTGATGAGGAAATGATGTGTTTCTTGTATGATGGATTGTATCAATTGACAAATTTTTGTTCTTTTATATGTGAAGCACCGTCCTATTTTCAATGTTTCTGCCTAGTTTACTGTTAGATCTTTCCTTATTGATTTTCTTTTCCACCCAACATGTGGCAAAAACTGTCAGCTGTTTTGGCCATGGATTCTTCTAAAGCTGGTCCAGTGAAGGAATTTCCAGTGGGGCTAGACGAAGCTACTGAAGAAGAATATGCCTCCCAATCTAAATTACTTCAGGAGTTTACTAGTATCTGCAGCATTGACAGGGCATGGACTTTTAAGTCTGACAGAGGTAGGATCGCTAGAGTTTCTTTAACTTCCTCTTTCTTATCCGTCTTCTTTTTCTTTGAAACCATAGAGTTATTATTGATCCCACTGCTGTTTATGAAACTGTTGCTGCAGGAATAGTCTCCCAGGCAATGTTTTCAATTAGCCAACCAAATCTTTTGGCAAATAAGTAACGAAAATTTATACTGTCCACTAGTATTTCAAAAGAAAGTAATAATAATGTAAACTTCCAATGGGCCCCATTTCCTGTTGAGATGAAAGGAGTGTCTGTAATTGTTCCCTCAACATCGGGTTCAAAGCTTCTTGTAATTCGAAATCCTGAAAATGAATCTCCCTCGCAATTTGAAATATGGAGTTCATCTCAGTTGGAAAAGGAGTTTCAGATTCCCCAGTCTGTTCATGGCTTAGTGTATGCTGATGGATGGTAAATGATTCAATGAATCTTTCAATTTTCATTTCTCTGAGGATAACTTTTGGCACTACTGTGTTAACCTTGTCAGTGATCCAGAAGTAAATGATATTTAAGTATCTTAGTTGAATTTTCTCCTTCATTAATGCAAATGTATTGGAAACTCTAGAACTGGTTGTAAGATCATCGCTGCTGGTTGTAGTAATGTTACTGGTAGCTATCATCCCTGCAAACTTGGAAAAGGTGAAATCTTTCTTCATGGTATAGGTTTGAGGGAATCTCTTGGAACTCTGATGAATCTCTTATTGCTTATGTTGCTGAGGAGCCTTCTCCCTCCAAGCCTTCTTTTGACCATCAAGGTTACAAGAAAGGTGCTACAAAAGATAAAGAATGCACTAGCTGGAGTGGTCAAGGTGATTGGGAGGAGGAATGGGGGGAATGCTATGCAGGAAAAAGGCAGCGTGCACTGTTTGTGATCAATCTTAACAGGTTTCATATATAATTGTTCTATTTAATCAATGCACACAGTAGAGAGCTTTTGTATGGTGGAAGGACCCTAACTGAACTTCCCTGCATATCACAGTGGTAAGGTACATGCTGTTAAAGGAATTACAAAGTCTTTGAGTGTAGGCCAGGTGGTTTGGGCTCCACCAATGGAAGGCGCGGATCAATATTTGGTTTTTGTGGGGTGGTCAGCAGGTCCTAGAAAGCTTGGTATAAAATACTGCTATAACAGGCCCTGTGCGTTATACGCCGTGAAGGTGCCACTTTATAAATCAGAAGCTTCTGAGTCTGATCCCAAGTGGGTAACTTGCTTCATTAAATGGCTTTTGGTTTCTCAAAGTTTTCTTCATTCATATATTTTCATGTTGGAACCTCACTGTGCTACCTTTAATCATGAGTCATGACACAATTTTCTGGAGACAGATCAATTGAAGAATCGGCTCTAGTCAACTTAACACAAATCATAAATAGTGCATTCTTTCCTCGATTCAGGTATGCCTTTTAAATCTTATTCCTCTTTCTGAGTTTCCCCCACTTTTTAAATCTTGTACATGAAAGCATGAGCTGACTGCAGAGTGCCTTCTGAAGTTTATTTTCAACACACATTTATGTATACTCTTAGCTGACGCTGTGTAACTGGAAAAGACTTAGTTTATTGTTTTTGCATCTATTTTTACTCTTTAGCATACTTGGAAAACTTTATTTCCTTACACTATTTTCCTTCATCCAGCTATGTCATATCTATGTTGCATTTATTAAGTTCAAATAATTTTCTTGATAAAAAAATGAGTTTGGCAAATGGTTCATTGCCATACTCCTAATTGCTTGGGTTAAGTTCAAATCAATTTCTTTATGTAAAACATGAGTTTGGAAAATAGTTCATTGTCATTAAACTTTCAATTTCTCTTTTCCTAATTTCTTGGGTAGCTGTGTAACAGTATATAATTTTTGTTCCCCTGCTTTACCATTCAAAATAGGAATGAAGAGTGCTCTCTCCATCTCTTTCTCTTTTGGGCCCATCTCTTCTTGTTATGGCGCAAATGAGGCTCTGTTACCTGTGGAGTACTTATTTCCTGGTTTATTGTTTTTGTCTGTTGCTTCTCTGCAGAGAATACCGTGTAAATTGTTGCTTAGAAATCTTTGAATGGCTGTCCAAAATTGCCTAATTTTCCTAGAAATTCTTCCATCTACTAGCCAAATATCAATGTTTCCATTAAATCCATTTAATGCTGCTTAATTAACTAGAAACTCTGTGTATACAGCTGCAAAAATTGTTAAAAATAACCTCCTTTTAACTACAAGCTACCTCTTTGGAGCTTGCTATATGTGAATTATGTTTCTTCCTTTCCCTCAGCCGAGATGGAAAGTTCCTCGTGTTTCTCTCTGCAAAAGCCTCAGTGGATTCTGGGGCACACTCTGCAACTAATTCTCTTCACCGAATTGATTGGCCAATCTATAGCAAGCTATGCTCATCTACAAAAATCATTGATGTGGTAAGCTTTCCACTTGCTCTCTGCTTAAGTTGAATGTGATGAGTTCAATTTAGTGCATGCAAGGTATGAGATTTATTTGGGTTCTTTTTTTACCTTTTTTTTTATTTTTTTTTTGGGGGGGGGGGGGGTTGTGAGGAGAAGAAAACCCATCCAAAACCCCCAATACCCAGCTCCATGCACTCTACTGGGTGCTCTTTCGTTCCTCAATGTTTTCTCTTTGCCTGGACTTGATTTTGCGTATTTCTACTAGTTTAGAAGATAACAAGACTAAATTGGGTCGTTGTGATGATTTTTTTTATCAATGGCAATACTTACATGCTGCAACCATAAACAATAATAACAACAACAGCAACAACAACAATAACAACAAAGTAAGCCTTATATCGCATGACTCTGGGGTCGGCTAAATGAAAGGCCAAAAAGATAATCATGTTAGGTCATACTTTTGAATCTTCTTGTGCCACTCATTTTTATCAATAACAATCTTTTCATCTACTTCCTTAACCCTTAGACCATTTCTTATAACTTGCATCTACATCTTTCGTGGCCTACCTTTAGAAGTTTTGGTATCTTCCAAATTCAAAAGCTCATTTCTCCTAATTGGTGCACAGATAGGCTTACATTTCATATGTCCAACCTATCTCAAACAGTCTTCTCTCATCTTTTCCTCAATTCTAACTACCCCTAATTTTTCTCGAATCTCTTTATTTCTAATTACATGCTGCAAACATATGTTATTTTTAGTCTCTACTTGCCCAGGTTCACATGACTGTTAATCTGTTTTCATCCTATCAAATCTTTGTAGGTATGAGATGCTTGTGCTGATGATTGCAACTGCTGGAAAATGTTTAATGAAAACTTGCAAGCTGACTTCAAAAACCTCCCAAAACCACATTGAAAGCCATAAAGGAAAAGAACAAAACATGATTTTATGTTTGCAACATTTACCCTCTGATTTTTTTGATATTAGCACTTATATCACAATAGGAAGTAGATTGTTTTGCAAGAAGTGCTCAAAATAAGGAGTCATATATTCATGGTTGATTTCTAGGATGAACTAAATGTTTTCTCTATTGTGTTAATTGACCTCTGATTAATATTGGATCTAATGCAACTGTGGAGAGTGATCTCTTTTCAGATAAAAGGAAAATTACATTTTAGCTCCTTTTTCATTTTCAAAAATCTTAGTCATAGTACTTAAATGTGGTGAAAAGAAAACGTTTTGATGATGGTATTTGTCCAATTCATTCAGGAGCTGCTAAACCTTTTGAGGCAATATTTTTATCTTCCAAGAAAAATGATTCACCAGATCCACTAATAGTGATGCTTCATGGGGGCCCACATACTGTCTCCTCGTCTAGCTTCTCAAAGTCATTGGCATTTCTTTCTTCAATTGGTTACAGCCTATTAATTGTAAATTATAGGTGAGTGAAAATATATCTTTACATCTTCAGGAAAAGTTAATTTGTGATAGGAATCCATTTTGCTTTTATGTTTGAGTATGTGACTAAAGCTAACTCTCTTCTTTTTCTTGCCATTTCATTTTCACTATGCTGCTTAAATTTTCCTTCTATAAAATGCGCTTTAATATCTTTTCTTTTTTTTCATACTTGAGGATGCCAGGATTTGAACCCTGGTCACTAGAACTAAGAGTCTAGCACTCTACCAACAAACCACATGGCTGTTGGCAAAATGCTTTAATGTCATATTTGATTTATGAAGTACTTTATTATGGTGCAAGTGTCACGGACCTAAGAGGGAGTCCTGAATCCCACATCAAACATAATAGGAGGGTCATTGGGGTATAAAAGGGTTCACACCATTTCCGTCTTGTGAGGCGCTTTTTGTAGGACAAAACCGTGAGGCTAAGGGGACCGGAGCGGACAATACCTCACAAGGATGTGAACTGTGGCGGTCAAGCTGATTCGGGACGCCGGAAGGATGAATGTCCGGGTCTCGGAGCTGCGCGGGTTCGGAGCTTAAGTCTCGACCCGTGACAAGTGGTATCAGAGCCAGCCCTAAACCGTTCGATCCACGCCAAGCACCTCAAGGGAGGCAGGCAGGGTGGTCAGCCTCCGTGACGAGGGCGTCACGAAGGCGTCACGAGGTTGGGTGCGGGAGAATGTCACGAACCTAAGGGGGAGTCCTGAATCCCACATCGAACATAATAGGAAGGTCACTGGGGTATAAAAGGGTTCACACCATCTCCGCCTTATGAGGCGCCTTTTGTAGGACAAAACCGTGAGGCTAAGGGGGCCGGAGCGGACAATACCTCACAAGAGTGTGAACCGTGGCGGTCAAGCTGATTCAGGACGCCGGAAGGATGAATGTCCGGGTCCCGGAGCCGCGCAGGTTCGGAGCTTAAGTCTCGACCCGTGACACAAGTGCTGTGCTAATTTCTTTAAGTACAGCACATCATTCTATTGCTGATGCTAAAATTGTTCGTGGATCCTCTGTGATATCTCCTTTCGCATGCTTAAGGAATTTTCCTTTAAAAATAAGCTTTTATAATTTTATCAACATCAAGTGGCTGACATAACCTTTATCTTCAGCTAACATACTAATTTATTTCAAGGTTCACTGGGATTTGGTGAGGAAGCATTGCAATCTCTTCCTGGGAAAGTGGGGTCTCAGGTGCTTGTTCTTGATCAATTCTTTATATGTGCTTGAGTCATTGACTTATCGTGGGTGTAAGTAATTTAATCATTATCATGTAAATTACGAACCCTCTCTCCTTGACTCATGCACAGGATGTCAATGATGTACTCAAAGCTATAGATCATGTCATTGAGAAAGGACTTGCCAACCCATCTAAAATAACTGTTCTTGGTGGTTCCCATGGTGGCTTTCTAACCACACACTTGATTGGCCAGGTAGAGCTTTCTCTTTAAGTAATGTAAATGTGTTCTAGTGACCAACAGATGTCCTTTAGCTGGTTTAGCAGGGAACATTTAGGGTTTTCAATATTACATATATCTCTCTGCAATCGAGCAGTCGCTGAAGAATGGGACCAATTACTTAATTTTTACAGGCACCAGATAAGTTTGTTGCAGCTGCTGTGAGGAATCCACTTTGCAATATTTCATCCATGGTTGGTGTAACAGATATCCCTGATTGGTGCTATGTGGAAGCCTATGGAAGCAATGGAAAAAGTATCTTTACTGAAGCACCTTCAGCTGAACACCTGACTCACTTTTACGACAAGTCGCCTATATCACATATCTCAAAGATATATCAAATGAAAGACTAGTTTTCTATTGTCATGCCTGTGTCAGTGGTGCCAATTAAATTGATTAGCATGGCATGCTTTGGCGCTGGTGCAGGCTTAGCATTATATGAAGCAAAATCAATCAAAATCAATCAGGGTTATTTAAGCTGTAGTATAATATGCATGGTATTCTAGAACTTGTATTGATTTCCCTTCAAAAGGGTATAGTTTGAACAAAGTGTTCCTTAAGTAAGCACCATAAGATCATGGGGTAAAGTCATTTTTTTATCGTCTTTGCAGGTTAAAGCTCCAATCCTCTTTCTTTTAGGTGCTCAGGATATTCGAGTCCCAGTTTCCAATGGATTGCAAGTAAGATAAGCATTCCCTTCTATAGCATGAACTATGATGAATATTTAATATTTTTTAACGTGGATACTAGATATCCATACTGCTGTAGGTGCCTGACTCTATTGAGCAATTAGCATCTGTAAACCCTTCCTCGATCCCTAGGCTGCAGCTTCCTTTGTACCAAAAAAAAAAAAAAGGATAAAGTTAGAAGTTTTCTGGAATTTACTCTCACCCCACATGCACACATTCTTTTTCTGATCTGAAAGTTGGGGTGATGTGCTCACGAATTGCTGTTTGAAAACTTTTAGTATGCACGGGCATTAAAGGAGAGAGGAGTTGAGACCAAAGTTATCATGTTTCCCCATGATATTCATGGAATTGAGAGGTAAACACATGCCCTGAAGAAACTTATGATATTGCTAAATTTGATCAGATGAAAAACATTGAGATCTGATATATACTCTTTCTCCGCAGACCACAATCCGACTTTGAAAGCTTTCTTAATATTGGCATATGGTTCAAGAAGCATTGCAAATGAACATCTTATGTTTGGTTTGAATCTAAAGTCCAGATCGTTGGCTAATATCTACTCAGAGCTGGGGATCATGTCACTTGTATTCAAGAATTTAATCATCATAATCTTGGTTAAGATGATTTGTCATCACAAGACATTCAACAATGTAATGATTTTTTATTTTAGTTATACCAATTGCAACGGTCGAGCATGTAAAACCACCATTTTTAGACAGGCTTGTGGTTTTTCTTCATCAATCTATAATGGACATCGCTAAACTTATCTGATTTTGTTTGTTGTTGCCAGATTGTCCTGCAAATAAAAATTGAAGAATGCTAAATCATTTGATAAGTACATGGATAATGAGATCCATATCATCTTAAACTGAAAGCACATAATTTGGGGCTGTTTGTGATTAACTAAATGATAAGCACCTTGCATGGAAAAATACAAAGCAACCAATGATGCAAAGCTAAGACCATATTGTGAAAATTAAAGGGTATTTTTTTATATAAAAAAGAAGAAAAAAAAAAGTACTAACAAACAAATTGTTTTTAGTTCTGTTTGTCCATAACCCTTGTAGATAGTTCATAGTTAAAAATGGTAACAGATCAGATTAAAATTGAACCAAAATTTTTTAATATTTATATTTGAATCCAAACTCGTAATTAAAAAATATTTTTTTTTAATATTTGATTAGATTCCATTTTGATATTCATAAAATGCAATCAATTCAATTCAAAATTACTTTAATAATTTTAATTTAGTATAATATTTATAAAATATTATTTTTAATATAAATTATATTTTAATTACATATAAATATAATATTTTTTATCAAATTAATATTTTAAATTAAAATATTAAATAATAATTTAATTTATATAATATATTTAATTAATTAAACAATAAAATTATTTTATATATATATTCAAATCGAATCAAAACGATGTTACTTAAGATTGAACCAAATGAAAAAAAAAAAAAGAAGAAGAAAAAACCCAACTCCACCTTCTATTTAAAAAAATTTCCACTCAATCCAATAAAAAAATTCCAAATCCGTTGAATACAAATAATTTAGCTCTCTTTAATTCATAGTCGTGCTTGTATAAAAGAAGCTGCAGCAATTGGATGTCTGCGGACAGCAAAATCTTGAACCGGAAAACTCTTTCGCAGCAAAACCATAACCCAGAAAAAAGAGGTTATAATTTGTGGTACTAATATTTTCAATTCTCACTTAAATTTTCACAAAAATCCATTTTATCTGAGCAATAGTAGAAATGCTTGCAAAACTTCCGCTAGATTCCAGTTGCTTCAATGTTTTATGCTCCTCAAAAACCACACCACCCAACATCACAGGAGCTTCCCTTTCGATTTCAGTTTCAGTTTCTCCAATTGAAAAACTCGAACCAATCACTAAAAGCAACCAACAAATACTTGTCGGTACTCACAATGGAGGGGGAACCAAGAAATTCAATGGAGTTCGAAAACAGAGTCTTGATAATCAGCCTGAGCCAAGTAATCAGATTTTGGAGAAAAACCCAGATAGCGAAAGGAGAGAAAAAACGAGGGGAAGTTTCAAATTTATGAATAAAAGAGGTAAATTCGGTACAGTTTGTGGAAAATTTCCCGTGGAGAAATTGCAGGCCAAGTGTTCGACGAAATGGGCTTCTTATGGAGGTTGTATTCCAGCGATTTTGGGAGCTTTGGATAGCGTTAAGGATTTGGATGAGGCATTAAAGCCATGGGCTGAAAAGTTAAGCAACAAAGAAAGGAGTATAATTCTAAAGGAGCAATCTAGTTGGGAAAGGGCTGTAGAGATTTTTGAGTGGTTTAAGAGAAAACAGTGTTATGAGTTCAGTGTAATTCATTATAATATTATGTTTAGAATTCTTGGTAAAGCTCATAAATGGGGTTATGTTGAGAGGTTATGGAATGAGATGAGTTTTAGAGGGATTGAGCCGATTAATTCTACTTATGGTACTCTAATTGATGTTTATAGTAAAAGTGGGATGAAGCAGCAGGCTCTTTGTTGGCTTGGAAAGATGAATAAGCAAGGAATGGAGCCTGATGAGGTGACTATGGGAAGCGTTGTGCAGTTGTATAAGAAAGCAGGTGAGTTTCAGAAAGCTGAGGAGTTCTTTAAGAAGTGGTCATTGAATGGATCTTCGAGGAATGGCGGAAGTGAAGCATTCGGTGCAGTGGAAAGTGATTCACCTTTACGCTCGTATACATACAATATTTTGATAGATACATATGGAAAGGCAGGGCAGCTTCAAGAGGCTTCTGAAACGTTTGAAATGATGCTTAGAGAAGGGATTGTTCCAACTACTGTTACTTTTAATACAATGATTCACATTTGTGGTAACCATGGACAGTTAGAAGAAGTGGCTTCACTGATGAAGAAGATGGAGGAGGTTCAGTGCCTACCTGACACAAGAACATATAATATTCTCATCTCCCTCCATGCTAAACATGATGATATAAAGATGGCAGCAGGCTATTTTGCAAAGATGAAGGAGGCCTGCCTTGAACCAGATCTTGTGAGTTTTCGCACCCTCTTGTATGCATACTCAATAAGGCAAATGGTCAGTGAGGCTGAAGACCTCATACAGGAGATGGATGAACGACATCTTGAAATTGATGAATATACTCAATCTGCTCTGACCAGAATGTACATAGAAGCTGGGATGCTTGAGAAGTCATGGTTATGGTTCATGAGGTTTCATCTTGCAGGGAATATGCGTTCAGAAGGCTACTCTGCCAACATTGATGCCTTTGGGGAGCGGGGACATGTTTTTGAAGCTGAAAAAATTTTTGTCTGTTGCCAAGAAAGGAAGAAGCTTACTGTCCTTGAGTTTAATGTAATGATTAAAGCTTATGGGATAGGGAAGGGTTATGATAAAGCATGTTGGTTACTTGATAGCATGCTGAGTCATGGTGTTGTTCCGGACAAATGCAGTTATAGTTCTCTCATACAGATATTGGCTAGTGCTGACTTACCACATGTGGCAAAATGCTACCTGAAGAAGATGCAGGAAGCAGGACTTGTAAATGATTGCATCCCTTATTGTGCTGTGATCTCAAGCTTTGTGAAATTAGGAGAATTGGAAATGGCTGAAGGACTATATAGTGAGATGATTCAGAACAAGGTGGAGCCTGATGTTGTTGTCTATGGTGTATTGATAAATGCTTTTGCCGATCTTGGAAGCGTTAAAGAAGCTATGAATTATGTTAATGCAATGAAAAGTGCTGGAATACCTGGAAATGCTGTTATATACAATTCATTGATTAAACTTTATACAAAAGTTGGCTATTTAAAAGAAGCACAGGAAGTATATAAACTACTTCAGTTGTCAGGATTCCACACTGATATGTATTCTTCTAATTGTATGATTGATCTCTACAGCAAGCGATCTATGGTTAGTCGAGCAGAAGCGATTTTTGAGAACTTAAAGCAAAAGGGAGATGCTAATGAATTTACATATGCAATGATGCTATGCATGTATAAAAGAAATGGGAGGTTTGAGGAAGCCACTCGTATTGCAAGACAGATGAGAGAACTGGGACTTCTAACTGATTTGTTGAGTTATAATAATGTGCTTGGATTGTATGCTATGGATGGGAGATTCAGGGAGGCAGTTAGAATTTTTAAGGAAATGGTGAGTGCTTGGATTCAACCTGATGATAGTACATTCAAATCACTTGGATCCGTTCTCATGAAATGTGGAGTTCCAAAGCAGGCTGTTAACAGGCTGCAAGTAGCAAGGGAGAAGGATACTCGGAGTGGTTTGCAAGCATGGATGGCTACCCTTTCTTCTGTGGTTGGAATGGATGAAGATGATGATGACTATGCCTAGACATTCTCTTTGCAATTGACTTTTTGGGTTTGAGTTCATTGTTGGATCATTGAAGCCTGGAGATGACCCAATAGACAAAACTTTAATCAAAAGCCTCACAATGTATAGCTGTAAGGCTCAGTTAAATTCAATGTCCATGACAATGTACTTAGCTGTTTTATTTTGTATATTTATTTGAGGAGAAGAAGTTCAAGAACTTCACCTGATGCTGGCAGAGCAAATACTGTTCTCTTATATAGCTCTTTGTTGTTGCAGGAAGTTTTATGCAGATGTGTTTATGACATGAAAATTTCAACCTGAGATTTTTCATCTTGGTGTTTGATATGCAGCACCTAGCACATAGCTTGACACTGTTAATCAACATCATGATACTTGCTTGCTCGGTCTGTGTAGCATTGATAGCTGCATGTTACTTTCCAGGCCTGACAAGAGCATGTTCCTAATTTTCTTACACGATCAACTGGTTTGATTCGTCCATGGGCTATAATTTCACCCACTGGTCTCTCCCTGGTCTCTTATTACACTAGATCTATGAACTTAATCATAACTGTGTACAGAGATTACCACCATATCTGCAGTCAGAAGAACAAGATCTAGATTTCAAAACTCTCATAGCTTATTTTATTCTTGTGTATCATAAATTTTTTTTGTTGGTGAACAATTTTTGTAATCATCATCTCTTTTTTTTTTTTTTCAAAATTTCTATTCCAGCCTTCTCCTGCTTGTGGAATTGATTCCAATTGTAGAAACATAACAGTCCTACATCAAATTCTGGAAAGTTTATGGAAAATTGCAAAGAAATTAACAAAAATAAACTTTTATCCAGCTGCTAACCACTAAATAAAACTATAATTTTCATCATTTACATCGATTCAGACCATAAGAAACCCCAATAACACTAAAGAATGCACCCAAAAGAAGGAAAAAAAATCTTTCATGTACATTTCAAGCCAAAACCATCACCCTATAGCACTATCCCAAGAAACAAAACTGTCTCCAAGGCCGGCTTCCAAATCCAGCCACTGCCCTTCCTCAAACTCCACCCCACCTTCCACAACCTTCACCTCCACCAAAACAAACAACTCTGCAATCTCGACCACCTCCACCACCAATACCACCCTCCCTTTCCCCAATCCCACAACCCCTCTTTTCCCTCTCTCAACTCTATACCCCAATCTCTCCCCAACCTCCCTAACCCTCTCCATCACCCCATCCAACTCCATCGAAGTAGTATACCTCTTTTCCTTCCTCTTATCATTCCCTCCTTCAAAAAGCCCCGATAAATCCAACCCGGCAGACAATGATATAATATCAAAAGCATTAACTCCATTACAAACCATGTCATGTTTTAACTTCCTGTCATGTAACAAACTTTCTTGTTGGTTGTTTGATGAGGTAAATGCTGTTAAAGTTCTCTTAAACCATGAAGTTTCCATTAACTTTACTATGCTCATTCTCGTGTCTGGATTCGGGTCTAGTAGCTGCCATATTATAGCTTTTGCTTGCTTTGATATCCAAGATGGAAACTGAAACTCCCTACGATGAATCTTTTTATACATAGCCACCAAGCTACTATCATCAAAGGGTAGATAACCTGCCAACAAAACAAATAAAATGACCCCACATGACCAAGCATCTGCCATGGAACCATCATACCCTTTTCTCCGAACCACTTCAGGAGCTGTATAAGCCGGTGTTCCACAAGCTGTATGCAGAAGCCCGTTGTTTAGCTGTTCAGGAAGAGCTGAGAGACCAAAGTCTGAAACTTTGAGGTTTCCATTTTGGTCTAATAAAAGGTTTTGTGGCTTCACATCACGATGAGCGACACCGTTTTGGTGGCAGAAATGGAGGGCGGAGACGAGTTGGGAAAAGTACCAACGTGCGGCTGATTCAGCTAAGCGGCCACGGCGTAACACTTTGGCAAAAAGTTCACCACCCGAGGCTAGTTCCATGACGAGGTAGATCTTAGTCTTTGTAGCCATGACTTCGTGGATTTTAAGGATGTTTGGGTGATGTTGAAGACGGCGCATAGCTGAAACTTCCCGGATTATTCTCGGTTCCATGGCAGCGTCAACCGTTTTTGTCTTGTCTATAATCTTAATTGCCACAACGCTCTTGTTATCCTCTAGTGAAGTTGCCTCGTGAACTTTTGCAAAGCTTCCACGGCCCAACAAACGACCCAATTGGTACTTCCCTAAAACTATACTGGTGGGTGTTTTGGTACGCGTAAGCGTTGATGTTGGCGATGGTGGTGGTCGTGGTGGTGCTTGTTGTGGCGGCAGATACGGCGGTGGTGGCGGAGGCAAGGTTGGTGGAGCCCCTGATGGCATTGTGTATGGTTGTGGAAAGGAGGGGGAAAGACAGGTTAAAGCGGAAAAGGAGCGTGCCACAACAAGGTTGAAGGAGAAGGTGAGTTGGGTTATATAGTGAGGGGAGAGTTTCGTGTGGTTGGCTTCTCACTGTCAAAGATTCAGGTTAGGTGGGATGGACCGTCATTTTTGTAGGTTTCCTTAACTGCCCTTTATATTTGCATAATTTTTTGCTTGTTTGACTTTATTTTTTCATTAATTTTAGGTGTTTTTTGTGAATAATCATTAGATTCCTAATGGGTTTTTTATTGTGTTTTTGCCTTAATTAATAACCAACGGTACACTGTGTGGAATAATTAAATTGTACGTTTCTTTACTATTTTTTATTTCTTTTGTTTTTTCTTTTCCTTTTCCTTTTCCTTTTGGGTTTCTACTCCGTAATTTATGGCTTTATGCACAAAATCATTCATTTCGTTAGATCATTCAGTTTTAAAGTAAACGACCACGTTAATTGCTTGTTTTTTCTATTTTTGTGAAATTATTTGCTATTTTAAAGGGAATATTTTTTAAATATATATTTAATTTTTAAATAATCTTTCATTAAAAATTAATTAAATTGATAACGAATAAAGGGATGAATAAATCATGTTGAATCAAATTAAAATTAATTAACACCTTAACAAGTTTACTAGAAGCTCGATCCAATTTGTCCACTTAGGCTCTTTTAAGCTTATATTATTTAAATATATTATTAAACCATTAAAAATACTTTTATGTTAATATTTTAAAATATATTTTAGAACTAAATATAATTAAAAACAATTATTTTATAGTCAAATATATTGCATAGGTCGATTGGCTTGGAAATCCTTATTTAGGTAATTACTTGTGAATAGGTCTAGTAAAGAGAGAACCTTTTCTTATCAATCAAGTTTTTTTTTTTTTTCCTTTTTTTGAATATTTCTTACATATTGCTGTAAGGGAATGTGCCTTTAAGACAATTGATATAGTAAAAAAACTTGAACATACCATTAATTGCATTATAGAAAAAAAATTATATAGGAGGACAATTAATATAATATATAAACATATAAATAAAAATTTTTATAAAGGATTAATCAGATTATATCAATGTAAAACTAATTTATTTTACACCTTTTTTATAATTTCATGTATAAATGATTAATATTTTTATAAACCAATTGTTAGATTTAATAACATACTCCATCCCATCAAGCAATTTTTTTTATATATATAAGAAAAGTCGCAATCTAAAGATAAAAATATATATATATTAAAATTTAAAATTTAAATTTATTAGATATTATATTTTAAATGTAATTATATAAATTAATTAAATTAAGTTTCCAATTTAATAAAAAATCTAAAGACAAATTTTTTACACGAATGATATATATTTTGAATTAAAAAGAAAAAAAAATCTAATGTGAAGAAATGAAATTAAATAGTTGCATGCTTAAATTGGATTGAATAGTTTCTAACTCTTAATCATGAGAGGTGATATTTTGATTTAATGGATGGATTGCTTTGGTAGGCAAAAAAAATGATGGAGAATAATATATTAACAAAGCAGATTTAATTAGTTTAATTAAATCTTACGGTATGAAAACATCTTTAATTTGGTGCTCTCAAAGTGGCTAGTCAAGGTCAAACAATATATGAAATGCCAATTGATTTAATTAAAAGATTGCTAATGAAAAGTACTTCCACTAACAATTAAGACCTTCATGCCAAAGCCATGTCCCCCACGCACACCACCGTAGAATATATATGTAAAATATCCCTATCTACTATTTAGAAAATAAAATCGGAGTAACACTGATAATTTAAGAAACAATATAATGATATAATATAAAAATAAAATAAAAATTATATAAATTATATAATTTAAAATTTTAATAAAAATTATATATAAAATTAATAAAAATAAAAAAATATATTTTATATTGAATATATTAATATAAATTATAATACAATAATTTTATATTTTAAATATATTTAATAAAAATATATATAATATAAATAAATAAATTATCAAACCTAAACGTGAGGAATCACCGTTAATCCAAAGTTTTCATTTCGTTTTTTTAATAATTTTTTTCTCTAATATCTTCGAAAGAGACTTTAATTTCTTCGAATTGGTGTCAAAAACTGCTATATGCAAAAGCATATGTTCATTTCTCATAAACTAGTTGCGTGTGTATTAGCTGGCGGTCACTAATCTTTTTGGGTAAGATATTTTCTCGCAAGTTGGGACAGTACTACTCCTCCTAGTCAAAGTTCATCAGCCGTGTTGAGAATCAGAACATCAATGATCAACCCCCTTAGCTCCTTTCAGCATTTATGTACTTTCTCTTTGAAGCATCATCTCACGGGATGCACACAGTGAACAGCTCAATAACTTGCCGTGCTTGCTTTTGCATGGTCATATCCAGATATCGAGTCACAGTTCGCATACGAATCTGATCTCCCGGCTGGATCAAGCGTAAAACATGTCATATCCTAGGTTACCATATGTATTTGAGATTAATCCTAACAAATTTATCATAAGTAAGATTGATCATAAAAATATTTATTATCAACAAATTTTTTTACAATGATATTTATTTATTTGTTTGTTTTATGGGTGGCGTGTGGTTGGACGGAAGCATGTTGTCATGTAGCTCGCGGTTGGTGCAATGCAATTTGGACTCAGAGTTGGGTGGCTGTGGAAGTGCCATTGAAGCATGCTGGTGACCGACTTTAAGGTTTTGCAGGACCCACTGTATGACTCCGAATTTAGAAACTAGAGGCGGCTGACGCAACAAAATTTAGCACGCATGCTGGCTTGCGCCCCAGCGGCCCCGAAAAAGTATTTTTTTACTCCTAAATTATGAGGTGTTTGGCTGTTTCCTCCTTTAACAGTTTACATCGTGATTCATGCTTTAAGTATTTTTCTTCCAATAAATTATTTTTTTATAAAATATGTTTTAATGCATGTTTAAATCATTTTTCAAAAGAACATTTCAACGGTTGATGGTTGGACAGAGGATTGAAGTTTACCCGAAGTTAGAAGATTATCTTCTGTATTTTAATTTTTAATACATTTTTAAATATACATAAAAAAAGTTTAATATTGAATTTTAAGTTATTTTTGTTGATTCATACGATCATTTTTAAAAAATAATATTTAAAAATATCTAACATTAAAATTTCAATATCTATAATCTTTTTGTGTATATATATATATATATATAAATTTATGTAGGGTAAAAATATAATTACAGGTAAAGAAATGCACAAGGATTTTCAAGGTGTGACGAGTTCACCCAAATGTTTGGTTTAATAAACATTAATCATAAAAGCCAACTAATGTTCACAATAAAATATTGTAAGTGGAGAAATATATAATACAATACAATGTTGAACATTTGTACAAATATATTAATCATGGAGATAATGATATAAATATATAACAATTATGCCAATTACAAGTGTGCTTCAAAGCAACTCAAATTTAAGAAGATGTAATTGAAGTGTTGCTGTATATATTATATTCTCAAATAAAAATTAGATTTAGGAACACATTTCTTATTTGACCTTATATTTATTACTCATTTTTTTAAGGTTTAAATTTCCAATCACCTTCAGTTAAACTTCTTTAAAATATATATTATTTTAATTATTTTTGTATTTAAAATTATCAAAATTTTAATTCTGATAATTAAAATTAAAAATTTAATATTTTATCAATAAATCATACGATTATTGATTATATATGTTATATATCTTATCTTATTTATTCCTTCTATATTTTATTTATTTCTTAGTATGTGGAAATTGCCTTACATTATCAAATGGAAAAGAATATTTCTATAGAATATAAGTCGTTTACTTTTTTCTTTTACTAATTTATTAACTAATTAAAGAAGGAAAACTTCAGCAGGCATCTTATTAGTTTGGGGGAAAGAAGCTTGAGAAATTCTTAATTCGTTATTATCATAGGCTTGGGAATTGGCTAGAATTTCTTATTCATTTCTTTTTAGAAGAAATTAAAAAAGAAAAAAAAAAAACTTTAGTTTGGTGCCTTAGTCAATTATGTTTTTTGTTTCCCCTTTCTCCCTTTTCCAGCTAAATGATAGAGAAACAAATCCCTTCTTTCCTGAATAAAGCATAAAAAATATTCTCTATAATCATGAATTTTTGCTTCACTTATTTTATCATTTTTCTCCATATCCTATGTCCGCTTTTTGTTCCTTTTTCCTTTCTCTTTGTCAATTCTGTAAAGAAAAGTTGAAGCAAGAAACCGATTACCGATCTAAATCAAAATAGAACCAAATTTGATTCTCTTAATTTAAAATTCAAGCTTCTTGAACCTAACAGGTTAGGATATACTTTTAAAAAATCAATCGAATTTCGTTCGATTCAGTTTATAAACACCTCAATCTAATTCAAATTAAATTTATGGTTTTTTTTTATTAACAATCGGGCATATAATTTGTTGATAAATTATTAAATTTTTAATTTTAATAATCAATGTTCAATTCTTAAAAAGATTATGAATTTTTATCTTGGCTACTATTGACTGGTTCTACCATGAGAACTAGAACTTGAACAAATTCAAATCGACCCTCTTACCAACCTCTCAGCTTATTCATAAATACGTAAGATCCACCGTTGATTGCCAATTCTTGTTGCCGACACCAACAAATTAAGATCGATCTCAATGAGTGTTTTTCATGTAGGAGCTCTCTTTCTCTTTCATATAAATAAAAGAGTCCAACTTTTACTGTAGTTAGTGTAGCAATATCACTTTTGTTTGTAAACAAGGAAATGGATGTCTTAGATTGATTTAAAGCAGTTCTTTTAAGCAGCTGGCAAGATCAAATACTTAGCTACTGTAACCTTAATTTTATGTAAAACTGCTGGCTTTTGTCTTTGATTGTGAAAGATGGATGGTTTTGTCTTTTAAAAAAATAATAATAATTTTATGGAGGGGCTGGACGACCCACTTGCTTAGGGGATTGGATTTTTAATGTCAAATGTCTTTAGCTCTTTATTATTTTAGTTATATACTATAATATATCAAAGTCTATATTTTAT